CCTGCTAGACCAGACTGCATAAATGGAGGTTGAGCTGGTTGATACAGAGATTCAGCTCCAGTCTCTGAATGACATTGTCCACTGATTTTATCACCATCTTCCATCTCAGAAACTTTAGCAAGTAATTCTTCATCACTCATTTTACTTAAGGTTTTACCCTTTTCAACAACAGCTGTAGTCTGAGCCCGAGCCAATCGTGGATCCCTTATTCTAAGATCAGTGTCTTCATCAGTTTTCACACAAGAGTCCACTTTACTTCCAAGTTTTTCTTTATTCTCGTCTGTCTTTTTTAAAACCCGAAGGTCTACATCAGTTTTTTTATCTTTGTTCAACTTATTCTGGAGTAATGGCCTCAAGTCAATATCAGCTTTGCTTGCAGTGGTAATACTATCCCCAATTTTCTTCTTTTTTTCAAATTCTTGATATTTGCCATAAATCATAACAATGGGGTCTGATGTTAAGCTTAATCGTCTTTTAATTTCTTGCTCCTTTTGCTTAATTTCAACCTCCTTCTGTCTGATGTTATCCAGTATCTCTTGCAAATTGGATGGAATACTGATTTTAGATGTATCAAGTTTGAACTGTTCGCCTCCGGGAGGAGGAGGACTGTGACCATGAGAGGGGCTGTACGGCTCTTCTTCTTCATTACCTATAGTCTTTTGCATTTCACTTAATTCCTTCTTATGTTCTTCTATCTGCCGATTAAGTTCTGCCAACATCGATTCTTGATCCAGTGATGCTTCAACGAAAATTTCTTCAGGGGGACTATTTGGTTCTTCAGTGAGAAATGGAGATGTAGCTACTGATGAATCACTTGTTGAACTGATGTGGCGCTTCTTTGGTCGGATGACTTCGCTTGAATCGGTTGCTGGTCTTTTTAGTGAGCCTGAATCAAGAAATTCTACTGAACTCTCTACACCTCGATTTTTTCGTGCAGAACTTGATCTTTCACCAGTACCATCGTCATCATCTTCTGAATCCTTAGCAGCTAAAGCAATCTCTTGGATGTCTTCATCGGTTGGGAGTGGTGGCGTGTAGCTCCGCTCTGGTAAATCTGTTGAAGATGAATCATAAGGAAATATTAATTTTATATATTTATTTTTCTTAGCTTTAGGATACTGCCAAAAAAAAGTGTGTGTGTGTGTGTGTGTACTGTCATAAATTATCCTGAATCCCAAGCTAGATAAGAGGTGCATTCCTTTGAAGACTTGACACACCTTAAAACTCTTTTCCAATTTATTAAACTAGATTTTTCCGTACATCTGCTATTAACGATATAGTAGAGCTGTCCCTTGAGTTTGGAAATTCAAGTTACAGAAGTTCATATCAACAGAGTCTAAAAAGCATGGAACAAAATTTGAGATATGTTAGAAAAATTTAATTTAATGAAAAATAATCCAGAAATTTCCAGAGTTAAGAAATTAGGAACAAATGTATACGTATATATTTCCAACCTTCAATATTTCACTAAATACTAAATATATATTACTACATAATGTAGACCCAGATTATTTCACATTTTATTAAAATTTTTATATTCCGCAGCTACCTAAATTACTTCGCGCTATAAAACTTTGAACACTTTTCTTGTTTAAAGATGGTCAATTTTCGGTTTAGCGATGCTCGACTCACTGGGAAAAATTCGGGAGCGAAGTCGGAAAAATTTGGGACTCTGTGCTCCAAGTGCGCATTACAGTAGAACATCGATTTTAAGCGATTCAATTTAAAATTATTGATTTAAAGCGACACCCACAATTAAGGACACTGTTTTAATTTAAAGCAAATCTTTCCTATTTTACGTGAGTCATTCAGGCACAACATATGGAAATAAACACTATTTTAAAATTCAGGCCTGATGTTTACCGCCATACGAGTCTCTTTACACACACTACACTGGGTGCCCGCCACCCTCCCTCATCCTCAGTTCTTGCACTGACGCTCTAGTGAACGGACATATTGTGTGACAGTATCTCCCTCTAGCACGTGCATCAACCAAGAAATCAAGGCAAGCAATTGCACTGGAGCAGAAAATCAAGGTGCTGGAAGCACTGCAGTGAGGAAATGGTGCTTCAAATGTGGGGTGCCAATTTGGACAGTGATGTGGATGATGAGCTAGTTGGGCTCTGCATCTTCAGAGGATGAATTGCCTAACTAAGGGTGAGTGAAAACCTATTTTAGATAGCATAAAGTAATTAAAAACTAAGTTGAGAGGAAAGTGAAAGTGCTTGGTGAGTCGGACAAGAGGCGGGCGGTGCACGGCGCCAGCATGACCATCCTCTCACATCAGCTGATCACTAATAAACACACCATTTCGAGTCCCGTAATTTTAGCTGTGTTGATTTATGATTGTTTGTTTTAACATAAAACTACAAAAAACAATGTTTTGTTTATTCTAGGAGATATGCTGAGGTGCATCTGGGTAGACTCTCAGTCTTTTTAGTATGTTGTGTTTCTCTCAAGTACCAAATTAATTATTCCATTGAAACAACACTTTGATTTAGTGCGAATTCGGTTTAAAGCGACCTCTCTTGGAACGTATCTCGTGTTATATCAACGTTCTACGGTATTACAATATATTGCTCACTCGCTTAATGCGGGTTTGTTCAATCTGGATTCACTCAAATTTGTTATTACTACCCGGTATCTCTTAACATGGGGCTAAGATTCACTCAAATGTGGGCAGAGCCGGGCTAACACGGGAAAATTTGGCTGAACTCAGTCGGGAAGAAAACATTTTACGCTGGCCGGTGATCAAGTTCATTATAGTACACGGGTGGCATCCCCATGCCACATGGACTCAAAGTTTAGCTAATCCTTGAAGTTTGGCCACAAACAAAAATTTTGCTTGGATTAACTTTTTTTTTTTTTTGCCTGCTTTTGTTACCATGGCTCCACCTAAATGTCCTCTTAAGTAAATTAAGAGTAATTTTTTATTTACACAATGAAAAAAAAAATCATCTTTATACAGGTATCCCTTGAGATAAAAACGTTTGAGATGCAAAATTTCATTTATAAGAATTTCCTATATTGAAACCAATATTTTGAGGAATGAAAGCTTCCTCAACTTATGTGAATTTGGGTCCGGGCAAAAATTCAAATTTTACGCGCTAAGAGTCAGCTGGCACAGCCATTTTGAGGAGAGATGCGCAGAGAAGTATTCTTAATCACTGATCATACCCCCACCCCCTCTCCTGCATGTTCCACAAGCCCGTGTTTTTCCATCCGCCATTCGTTGTGTGAGAAGTGATCTCTTTTTATCCATGTGAATTCATGCCATCCTTTTGTAACAACTTTTTTTCTGCTGAATCTTCAGTTACCCGCACTCCACCAAAGTAATCACGGAAGGCTTTGACTCTTGACAAAGCTGGAAGTAATTAAGCATCATGAACGTGGTGATGGTCCTTCCAAGATTGGGAACTATGATCTAGCTATTTCTTCTGTGGCATACCAGAAAGATGCCAGATAGCATCAGAGAAAAAAGAAGTTATATTTTCTAGTTTATTTTTCTATGAATATTTTACCAGAGCTTGTTAATACGTCTCAGAATGACCCTGAGCACGCTCATGAGGGGGGGGGCGCATTTAACTGTCTATTTAATTGCCAAATCTCTGTAAATAACTTTAATATGGAAGTGTAAGGCACACTGTTTAGATACAAAAGTCTTGCAAGCAAAACACACCTGCCAATTACTGAACTGGGTCATAAGCACATGTCAACGCTCTTGCAACTTCTACTAGTCCGGCAACCAAACCCTAGATTTATGCTGAACCCGGATTTGTCGTCCAGACAAAGTTTTTTTTTTTAACTAATTATTATACACAATTTGAGGGTGCTGAATCCAAATCTACTGGGTGCCACTTTGTCACCCTTGGGGAAAATGAGATATTTATGAAGGCGTCCAAGATGGCTGCCAAATACAGTAATGCCTCTGATAACAACGGTTCGATCAACAACTTTTCATATTTAAAACCCGAGTTAATTTAGGACCCAATTCAATTTACGTCCTTATTTCATTCGTATTTACATCCAAACTACAATAAAAATAAAATAAAAATACAATTTCATATATATAATAACTAAATCCCAATATGAATTATACCTAAAAAAAAAAATACTGTAAAAAAAAATGAAGAGCGCCTTGCGCAAAGAAGCTGCCTAATGAGTGGCAAACAACAGTCTGAGCTTGGCGGGCCTTATGTTTTCACGCATCTGGAACAGGAACAGGATAAAAACTTTCTCAGGTTTCTTACAGCATATTTGCATCCCTATTCAACATGAGCCAGAGAGCAAGTGATGATGGTAGTGTTGGTTCAAAAGATAATAGAAAGTGTATAAGCTTAGCCGAGAAACTAGATGTGTTAAAAGGTGAGAGGTCTGTGGATGTTATATGGAGCAAGCAATAAACATATTTTCTGAAGTGGATCCATTAACAAAACATAACATTAAAATTTAAATAAACACAAATGACCTATATATACATAAAGATGTACAGGTTGTACCTCTCTAGTCCAGCATTCTGTGGTCCGGAACGATTTTAGTTTGTCCAATAGGTAGATAGGCAGCTTTTTTATTATTATTATTATTATTATTACTACAGTATTAAATTTTTGCCCCTCAGGCCCCAATGTGGGTCAGTGACCTGTGCCCAGGTGGGCTAATCCCAGTAAAAAAAAAAACAACAAAGCCGCGGGAAATTAAGGTTTGTTTACATCCGGCAGTTCGGCCGCTCTCTCTCTCTCTCTCCCTCTCTCTGCTTGTCTATACGGAGTACAACATTTAACCCTTCAATATATATGAGCAGTAAATAAGTGTTGCTTTCATATTCTTATGTAGAGTAATGACGATATATTTTCACATGTGCGCACTTACATACGCACAGTCTCACTTTTTTTTTTACCATTAATGGTTAGCTATTTCTATTGTTCCATTTATTAACATTAAATAACATTACTTAAAACAACCATATTAATTTTACTACAGCTACAACCAGGGTCTTATTTTCTTCAGTTTTATATGTAGAACCAGTCAGTCACTGGTTTTGTAATCAACAAAAACAATGCTGTCTCATTTCCTCGTTTTTTTAATATTCTCTATGTTTGTCTTTGATACCCCCAAAATGTTCTACACTACTGAGGGTATATGCAAACACTTGTTATCTTGAAAATAGGTTCTTATTCTCGTACGGGAGATATATAGAGGAACTAATAGACAGTCAGCTTCCACACCATAAGGACAGGCGATCTCAACTCTCTGTATCACTCCGCGCTGGCATGTACAGATGCCAGCATTCACAAGCTGAATACATAATATGTAAATATGATAATTCATATACATAACATGGTGCATAATAAATGGAAATATTACATAGGATTAATACATGTTCTGTAATACTTTACTATACATAATTAATAGAGTAATATAAGAATACACAGCTTAAGGTACTACTTCGTGTCCATATTATACACCTCCCTCCCCCCTATACGCTCATAGTTTCATCTTGAGCGGACCTTTTGTTTCTGAGTCGCTCGGACCTGCGGAGTACCGGGGCAGAAACACAAGGTGGGGATAGATTTACTGTAAAGGCATCAACATTAGGGGACTCTACTGGGGAAAGGTCAACACTTGGCAGCTCCACAGGTCGGAGGAAGCGACGGTTCCTCCACCATACTCTACCACTAGGAAGACGCACTTGGTAGTCCCTGGACCGGCCAATACCCATGACAACCCCAACCTTGTCCCAACGGTGAGATACCGGATCTTGAATCCTGACCTGCTGGCCGATACTCAACCTGGGAAGGGGGCGGGCATTACAGTCGTACCGAGCAGCGACATCTGCGGCTCGTTCTGCTGCACGGCGGTCACATTCTTCAGTCTTGGCTTGCCATTCTTGAGAAAAAGACTTCGGGTGGGCAGGAACACAAGACCTGAGATGATGTCCATATAGAACCTGGGCTGGGGAGCGTCCGGTGAAGTTTGGGGTGTTGCGTAACTCTAACAAGCCTCGATCGAAATCCTCGCAGTCAATATTTCCTGAGGGTGACACCTTAAGGATCA